ACTTACGATACAGAACCAGGTAAGAGCAACGCTTGATACGGTTTTTCAGTAGCTAACGTCTTAATTGCTTTTCCTGTAGCACCATACACATTCGCACCGTACATCCAGTACTCAAGCTGCGTCGTACCTGACTCCGAAGACGCTACCACTTGACGATCAAGATCGAGAAGATGTGAAAACATTAGCAGATGCGCGTGTGTCTTCTACGCACATCACCAACTTTCTGAATGATCGCATCGGTGAGTGTATGAATTTTGTGTGTGTGGGGGGGGGGGGGTCATTTCTTACCATTTTTTTTCGGTGATTGTGTTCCCATAGGATGCAAGGTAACGCCGCAGCAAACACGCAATTTGATTCGGAGTATCATGGGGCAAGATTCTGGTGAGGACCGCCTGAAAGACATGCTACATACCCTCCGGCAGCTTGAGGGTAGTGACGTGCAGGTCATTCAGGATCAAATGGACATGACCTGTGGTATTGTGATGCAGACAAAGGTCCAGAAGATGATGTTTGAGCGCTGGGGTGAGACGTTGGCGATGGACTTCACGCACAATACAAACAACCTCGGGTATCACTTGGGTGGGTTCCTTAGAGCAACCTTTTGCTTAGTGCAACCTTTTGTTTTGTGATGTTATTTCAACCTTTACCTTCTCAGAGCAACCATAGTAATGTTTTTGTCTTTCCCTTTGGCCTGCTGTTTAGGCAGTTTGGTCGTCACTACGGCTACGGGTAGAGGATTCCCTGTAGTTGACTTTATTTCTCTGGACGAACAAGCAACGACAATATCAACGATTCTCGAATACTTCAAGGAAAAGAACTCTAGATGGCAAGACGTTAAAACAGTGGTCATCGACAAGGACTTTACTGAGTGGCGGGTTCTACAAACGGCATTCCCCAAGGCTACGATTTTACTCTGCCAGTTCCACGCCATCACATATTGGAAGAAGGTCATGAAGCGATCAGTGTATCGGCTGAACGTTTCACAGCAAGAAGTACTTCTCAAGTTGATGGTGAAGCTGTTGTACAGGTACATTAACTACTCATCAAAGATATTCAGTCATTCTAACTAATCCACGCTGTTTTACCAACTTTCTAGCTCAACAAAGACTGCCTATGAAGCCAGGCATCTCGTGCTAAAGCGGTACTGCTTGGAGAATAAGCGGCAAGCGATCTTTGCCTACTTTGAGAAGAACTGGGATCCGTGTCGTGGCATGTGGTCTAATTTCGCTCGTGGAAAGCACTTTACGGCTGGCAACACGACCACAAATCGTATCGAGTCCAATTGAAAGCAGTTGAAATTGCTGCTAGGGCTGAAGACGAGAATTGACAAAACAATTGCTGGACTGCTCCAGCACCAGATTATGATCACCCATCAGATTATTTCGGAGATCGAAAAGCTACATGCGTCGTCGAGGATGCCCAAGACAATTCCACGGTTTCTGAGAGAAGTGGCAGGCCGATTATCTGCCAAAGTACTGATGACTGTGAAAAAGGAGTGGGAATGCTTCGTGAATGTGATGCCGTCGGCCGTTGCAGCGCGAAGCGAGGACTCTTGTTCTACGTGGAAAGTTTACTGCTGTAACCAGAAGTTTCTGTGTCATGATTCGGACTGGACCTGCAACTGTTTATTTTACAAGAGTAATCACTTGCCTTGCCGCCATCTAATGCACGTTGCCGACAAAGGTCTTGGATTCGATGCCCTCCCTATGAATGCGATTCACAACCGGTGGAGCTCGTTCGCTGCTTTGGCTATTAGAGACGACCTTGTTGCCGCAGCTGACAAGTTGCGGTCTGTTGTGAGGCTGTCCAAGTTAAAGTTGCCGAAAGAAAGGTTGCTGGATGACAACGATGAAGTGGCGAGTACTTCGCATCACAAGAGCCCCAAACAGGTAGCTTACGTTCGACTGCGCCGCAATGAACGCGCGAACCATGTGGTTCTTTCGTCTGGAGAGAAATATTCCTACGCTAAGACGATGCTGGAGCCGCTACTTCAGCACCTGTCTGGTTTGCCGAGCTCGGAGTTTTACAGCGAGCTCAAAGCTTGGAAAGAAACTGTTGATATGGGGTTGCGCAAGGGTGGACCAAGGTCAACAGAAGCAGGTACCAGTGATGGGATAGTTGAGTTTCAAACTCGATGTGAGGTGGATATGCTCGAAGATTTCGATCCTATGGATGCCATGGAAGCTGCCGATCTCATGCAGGCGATGGAGGTCGCCAATTCAGAAGACTTTGCACGCAGTGACAATGGCAGCGACGATGAAGATACGACACCAACACAACTAGCTACTGCTGAAGAGCACCCAGGTGGAGTTGAACCAGAAGCGGAAGGCAAAACCTCGGGGCAAGATGGAGAACACCTTCGCGACGGCCTCACCACGGATGTTTCGCCACCACCGTCTGAGCGCCAAGTAGATATCATCAACGTCCCGAAACCGAAAGGCCGAGGGAAAGCTCGCGCCACCACCAAGCGTTTCCAGC